ACAGCTAGATGGTGCCCGGCTACCACCACTGACTGCTCTGACCAGGATCACAACAGAGGGCTCTGGACAGAGCGGGAGAAGGATGTAGAACAAAATTCTAACACACACAAAAAGACCAGATTTACTGACCTAACAGAGACTGGAGAAACCCCAAGAGTATGGCCCCCGGACACCCTTTTAGCTCAGTGGTGTACTCACTCCCGAGGTTCACCGTTCAGCCGGGGATTGGACAGCCCCATAAAAAAAAAAGGGACTAATGAGGCACAGCAGTCCAGGGACAAGGACTAGAAGGCAGAAGGGGACAGGAAAGCTAGTGATAGGGAACCCAAGGTTGAGTAAGGACAGTGTTGACATGTAGTGGGGTTGTTAACCATTGTCATAGAGCGATATGTGTACTAACTGTTTAATGAGACACTATTTTGTTCTGTAAACCTTCATCTAAAGTGAGAATAGCAGCACAACTGGAAGAACATAATCAATGTCACTGAATTGTAATGTAGAAATTTTTGAAATGGTATATCTTTGGCTATGTATATTTTCACCAAAAAAAAAAGATCCTACAAGGCCGAGAAGGGAGCATGTTGACATGTCATGTAGTTGTTAACCAACGTCATAAAACAATATGTGTACTGACTGTTTAATGAGAAACTATTTGTTCTGTAAACCTTCACCTAAAGTACAATTTAAAAAAACTGTATGGCGCACAGTTCTACTCTGACACACATGGAGTCACCATGAGTCGAGAAAAAAAAAAAAAAGCCACAAAATAAAGAGACTTAACCATTTTTCTTGAATAAGTGCTCCTTAGGTTGCTGCAGTTCTTTGGTTAATTTCCACGGTTGGAACACTTTTATTCTGACAACATTTGTCAGTTTGTTTTTCTGTTGTTGCTTTTATGGAGGGACATAACTTCGGAATTCCCTATTCCTCCCATTTTTGCTGACATCTTTATATAATTGCTTTTTAAATCAGTTAAGAGAAGAAATATGCATTTATACTGCCTTTTATAATTATGTAATTATCTTTCCTAGTGTTCTTTGCTATTTCATATAGATTCAAATTACCATATGGGGTTACTTGCTTTCAGCCTCAAGAACTATCTTTCGCATTTCTGGTAAGACATATGAGCTATTAACAGATTGAAGGCTGTAGTCCATTTGTTCAGTGACTTTTCCAAACTGTTTGCAAAAATTGTATATCTTGTTGTGTGTGCTTTTGCTATCTCCGTGGTCCCAGTGTCCTGGCGGAGATTTCCTGAAGCACCTGGATCCAATAATAAAGGAAGAAAAAAAAGGTGTTTTGTCTCTTTAAATTCTTTCCACAGACACTGCCCAGGAAGCCAACTTAAGCCAAAGAGGGTTGAAACAGTGGCCAGCCTCTGTGCCTGTCCTTCAGTGACCATCAGACAATTAAAAATACATAACCCCAATTTTTGTAGAATAAGGTTTTTATTGCCCACCCTGGCACCTTGGGGAGACTACTGTAATCTTAATGTATTACATCCATATTGGATCCACTGTGGAGGTTTTTAGTCACTTCTGCCTCTTCTGTGTCTCTCTCCAAAGTCTTACCACCCTCATTGTAGGCACATCTTCCACCATAATTGGAGAGAATTCAGGGGCTCCATGAGGAGGTAGATGTTTCCTACAGGAATGCTACCCTTCAACTCCGTTTTTAGAAAGACTCACATATGAAGAGGAAAATTCCTATACACAGGAGGAAACCTGCTTCTTTTTCCTCCCAGGCCTCAGTTTATATACTCATAACAAAACTTTAAGAACTATCCTCCACTGGGTCAGCCTAGCCCATATCCCTTTTAACCTACATTCTAACTTAATAAAATTTAATTAGTGAAGTTTTATTATGTATTTGCTTTGTCAAAAAAAATTAACTGTTTCGATTGAATTGACTCATCACGCTTGTCAGATCAATATTTAATTAGTACTCCACTAAAACATGATTTTAGATTACTATTTTCTTTTCCTCCAACAGAGATATAATTTCCCGTGTGAGTCAAGTGATGCCTATATTTGCTCCCTTTCATCTATTTGGTACAATCGGAGTATTTGGAGTGATTTTACTGTCTTTTATATATTTGTTTTGTGTTTCTAGGTTTTTAATTAAATATCTGGGATTTCATTTTTTTTTAAACAAAGAGCTTAGAGCAGTCTGAGCCATTTGTGGGAAAGATGGATTACTTGCAACTGTAGCATCTCAAGTTGGAAAAGACCTGCATTATCTAGCCTCTTTCTAACTTATGTGGCACCTAAATGCCGTCTGTGGCATCCTAGCCGTGTGGATAAGTGATCTCTGCTTCAATACCCTAAAGCAGGTCATACCACCTTTGAATTAAATCTGACCACTAGAAAGTACTTCTCTAGGATGACATTCTGTGCTTTACAGGTATTTGAAGACCCTTCTGCTAAACTCAAGAATCACCTCTTGAAGCTTATTCCCAGTTTCAGTAATGATTGCTCATGACATGATTTCTAGTCCCATTTGTCATCTTGCTTTTTTCCATGGAGTTTCTTCCACTTTGTCAATGTCTCTTTGAAGATGTGGTACCCATGATTGAACACCAGCTGTAGTAGGAATAGTGTGGAAGAGAGCAAGATGACTGTCACTACCTGGCTCTGATTAGTGAAGCCCATTATTATGTTAATATGTTCAACCATGTTATCAGACTGATTTCTGTAGAAATTACTGTCGATATGACCTCTAATTCTTTTTGTAACATAACGCTTTTTTTTTTTTTGTGGTGCAAACATACACAACAGAGTCTTCACCAACTCAATAATTTCCACATCTTAATGTATGTTAAAATAAATAGTCAGAGACCTGATGGATTTCTGATGAAAGCAGCTGTAGTTTTTTTGTTTGTTTGTTTGTTTAACATAAACTTAGAAGCAAAATGTTTTCTGTTATCTCTTACATTATGTGCTGTGCCTGTTTTGAGACAGAGCTATTCTGACCATATTCATAACTATGAAGTGTTAATATAGTATTCTGAATTGATATGATGACATCTAAATGACTGCAATATTGGTTTTGGTTTTCCTCTCCTTAGGGCACCTGTAGTGGAATCTTGAGAGGTACAGGAAAACAAAAGATTGGTGCTCTCTTGAATGCCATTGGTGGTTATGTTTTTGGTTTGCCCGTCAGAGTATCTGATGTTTGCTGCTAAACTTGGGATAATAGGTATGTGTTTTATTTCTAAGTGATGTACCTCAAATCTTGCTTGTCATATTAAACTGATATAAAGCAATTGACTGGAGAGTCACCCCTATGAAATAGGAATCAAAATATGCAAGAATTTGAGTCCTTGCATCTTTAAGTTCTTAGTCTTCTAGCTTAAAAGATGTTTTCAGATTTCCTCCAGACTCAGTAAACTCGATTAAGACATTTGAGGTCCTTCCTTCTTAAAATTTCACAACTTTTGGCACACACTATCCAATTACAGGTTATCTCTCCTTAGGAAACATTAAAGGAGGAGAAAAAAAAAATATGTACAAATAGTTTCATTGCCAAAACAAAATAAAACAAAAACAGTAATCATTTAGCCAACTCACGGTGACCCGATATGTGCCAGACTAGCACTGTGCTCCATAGCGTTTTCAATGGCTGATTTTACGGAAGTAGATTGCCAAAACTTTCTTCATTGCAGCATTGTTAATAATAGCTACCAAATGGAAACAACCTAAGTGTGTAGTACAGGTGCAGCATTTTTAATTTTTATTACAAAATTATATATACATTATGATTCCTATTGAGGGAAAATTACCCTCTCCACAAATATTCCTTCTTTGCCTACTCTGTACTTGTCTCTGGATAAGTAGGAGTATACAATAAGTATGTATATTTTAAAATCAGCAAGAAAACAAGACTAATTCTGGTTCTTTTTTTTTTTAATGATATTTTATTGTGTTTTCAGTGAAAGTTTACACAGCAGTTTAGGTCCTCATTCAACAATTTCTACATAAATTGTTGAGTGACGTTGATTGTAGTCTTCACAGTGGGTGAACATTCTCATTATTTCCGTTCTGGTTGTTCCGTTTCTGCATCTGTTTGTTGAAACATCTCAATTGGTATTCTGCCAATTCCTGGAGGCTTGTTTTTCACGAATGCCTTCAGTGCAGCTTGGACTTCTTCCTTCAGTACCATCGGTTCCTAGTCATATGCTACCTCCTGAAATGGTTGAACGTCAACCAATTCTTTTTGATATAGTGACTCTGTGTATTCCTTCCATCTTGTTTTAATGCTTCCTGCGTCATTTAATATTTTCCCCATAGAATCCTTCAATGTTGCAACTCGAGGCTTTTTTTTCTCTTTATGGCTGAGTAATATTCCATTGTGTGTATATACCACATTTTGTTTATCTATTCATCTGTTGATGGACATTTGGGTTGTTTCTACCTTTTGACAACTGTGAGTAGTGCTGCTATGAACATTTGTGTACAAAGTTTTTTTTGTTTTGTTTTTTAACACCTGTTTTCACTTCTTTTGTGTATGTACCTAAGAGTGGATTTGCTGGGTCATGTGGTATTTCTATGTTTAACTTTGAAAAACTGCCAGACTGTTTTCCACAGTGGCTGCACCATTTCACATATCCACTAGCAGTGCAAGAGGGTTTCAATTACTCCACATCCTTGATTTTTCAGATTTTTTTTTTTAATAGCCATCCTTATGAGTGTGAAGTGGTAACTTACTGTGATTTTGATTTGCATTTCCCTGATGATTAGTGATGTTGAGCATCTTTTCATGTGCCTGTTGACCATTTGTATATCTTCTTTGGAGAAATGTCTTTTCAACTTTTTTGCCCATTGTTAAATTAAGTTCTTTGTCTTTTTGTTGTTGAGTTGTACGAGTTCTTTATATGTTCTCAATACTAGACCCTTATCGGATATATGATGTGCTAATGTATATTCACATTCTGTAGGTTGTTTCTTCACTTTCTTGATAAATTCCTTTAATGCACAAAAGTTTTTAATTTTGATGAAATCAAATTTATCTATTTTTTGTTTCTTGTGCTATTGGTGTCATATCTAAGAATCTATTATCAAAGCTAAGGTAAGATTTACCCCAGTGTTTTTTTACAAGAGTTTTATAGTTTTATCTCTTATTATTTAGGTTATTGATCCACTTTGAGTTAATTTTTGTAGCTGGTGTTAGGTAGGAGTCCAACTTCATTCTTTTGCATGTGGAGATCGAGTTGTCTCAGCACCATTTGTTGAATGATCAAGACCATTGAATGTTCTTAGCACCCTTGTAGAGAATCAATTGGCCATAGGTGTTTGGGTTTATTTCTGAACTCTCAATTCTATTCCATTGGTCTGTAGACCTGTCCTTATACCAGTACCACACCATTTTGATTACTGTAGCTTTGTAGTAAATTTTAAAATCGAGAAGTATGAGTTATCCGACTTTGTTCTTCTTTTCTATTACCGTTTTTTAATTCCATATGAATTTGAGGATTAGCTTTTTCATTTCTGAAAAAAAGAAAAGCCATTGGAGGTGGGTTTAGATTAAATCTGTAGATTACTTTGGGTGGTATTGCAATGTTAACGGAGCTCTGGTGGCTGCGGTGGTTAAGAGCTCGGCTGCTAACCAAAATGTCGGCGGTTGAAATCCACCAGCCGCTGCTTGGAAATCCTATGGGACAGTTCTACTCTGTCCTATATAAGTCAGAATCAACTCAACATCAGCCGGTTAGGTTTTTTTTTTTTTTTTTTTGCCATTTTAACAATATTAAGTCTTCCAATTCGTGAACATAGGATATCTTTCTACTTATTTAATTTCTTTCAAGTAGACCTCATGGCACAGTGGTTAAGTGCTCGGCTGCTAATCAAAAGGTCAGTGGTTTGCACCCACCAACTGCTCCACAGGAGCCTTGGAAACCCTATGAGGCAATTCTACTGTCCTATAGGGTCACGATGTATGAATCAGAATTGACTTGATGGCAACGGAGTTTAATTTCTTTCAGCAATTAATTAGTTTTCAATGTACTGGTCTTTCACTCTTGGTTAAATTTATTCCTAGATATTTTATTCTTTTACATATTATTTGTAAATGGAATTGTTTTCTTAATTTCCTTTTCAGATGTTCATTGCTGTTGTATAGAAACACAACTGATTTTTGTGTGTACATCTTGTACTCTGCACCTTTGCTGAATTCCCTTATTAGAACTAGTAATGTTCTTGTGGATTCTTTGGGAATTTCTATGTATAGGATCATGTCACCTGTGAGTAGATAGTTTTATCTATTCTTGTTAAATTTTGATGCCTTTTATTTCTTTTTCTTGTTTAATTGCTCTTGCTAGAATGTCTACCTATGATTTTAACAATCTTTTAATATTTTTCTTCAGTACTTTTGTTTTTAATTTAAGTAAATAATTTAATTGCTTAAATTTATAGGATGTGAGATAGTACTCATAAAGAGCTTTTGTCAGAAATATGCTAAGGCCTTTATGCACATTATCTCTTTCAAATGTATGACACCTTTATAAGATATAATCTCTCATTAGCTCCATTTTATACACATGAAGAGCCTAAAACCCAAAGAGGTTAGTTTGTTCAAAGTCCGATTGGTAGTAAGTAGTAGGGCAGAATTCGAACCCAAATAGTTTGACTCCAGAGTCTCACTTATAACTAGTATGCATGTTGTCCCTCTCTCTTTGGGTTTCATGACTCCCTTATTCATTCAACAAGCATGTGTTGAGTACCTATTGTATGTCAGGCTGTGTGCTTTGTTAGAATCTTGTGATGTAAATAGGCAAGGTCCCTGTCTTTTGAGAGTTCACACTTTTATTCTCTTAGTTTTCATTCCTCTCTGATGGCCTTTGGCTCTTCTTCAACTTTCTGCCCTTGAAATGTAGACTTTCATCAAGGGTCAGAATATAATCCTTTTATTTTTCTCCTGCTTGCTTTCCCTTGGTAAATCTCAGAGCCTTACTCCTCAGCACCAGTGGCTCCCAGATCTTCATCTCTGGTCCTGACCTCGTGCCTGAGTTCCTACCCTGTATATTTCCAGGTGCTTGTCAGGCATTTGAGGGGCAGTGGGGATTCAGTATTAGAATTCTCACCTTCCATGAGAGAGAACCTGGTTCAATTCTTGGCCAGTGCACCTCATGCACAGCCACCACTTGTCTGTCAATGGAGGTTGCTTGTTGCTATGATGCTGAACAGATTTCAGCAGAGCTTCCAGACTAAGACCGATGAGGTAGAAAGGGCTGGTAATCTACTTCCAAAAGATAACCAATGAATTGGTTCAACAGATCTGATCCCATTGTACATGGGGATGACAGAGGACCAGGCGGCATTCATTCCATTGTGCATATGGTCACCATGAGTTGCGGACCAACTCGATAGCAGCTGACAACAACAGCAGCCAGTCATTTGCAGGATGTCTTGCAAACATTTCTGCCCCCTTTCTGCCGTAGTCAAGCTGTCAGGTCTTACCAGTTCTGTCACTGTATGTTTTATATCTGTGAGAGATTTATCCCCACGATCAAGGGGGAAATAGTTGAGAGTTTATAATGGCTATGGCACACCTATCTTAGCATTTGTTATCTCCAGTAAACTTTGTGCCTAACTTGGGTATTTATTACCCTCATTAAAGTGTTACTATTTAGCACCTGTGTTCCTGCAGATGCAGTGAGGAGAGGTTCAACAATGTAAAGCAGCTTCTTGTTTTCACAGACACCTCATTTCCTCAGGGAAATTCTGCTCTCATGGATTTTATCTCAGGACAACACCAGTAGATTTCCGTTTTTAGAAAATAGTTGTAGTCTTGCCACAAGACTTGGAAGACAAATCTGTAATCTTCCTGTCAGTCCAAGACCTTGACACCATCTTTGTTTTCATGAAATGGATGCTTCTCTGGCAGTCTGGGCTTGTATGTTCAAATATCTGATGAACATTTTGGAAATTCTAGCTTTTGCTCAGTCATGTTTTTATCACTTTCTTTTAAAAGTTTTGTACATTTTTTGTTAAGTTTACCCTTAGGTATTTTATCCTTTTGTTACTGTCATAAATGAGGACTTCCCTTCCATTATGTTATCTAACTGATTGTTGTATGTATATGTGAGGGCTATTAATTTCTGTATATGAATTTTGTATCCTGTTAAAGTTCTGAATTCCTTTTAATGTTTGCGGTAGTTTTAAGTTGATCCTCATGGGTTTTCCAGGTATACCATCATATCG